GTTTAGTAACTCCGACCGTTATAATTGAGAGAGTATCAGAAATAAAACGAATTTTTGCCGGAAGGATCGTAAAAGTTTTCAAAAACAAGTAGGAGACTAACAAGGAGTCCGAGTCTTGAATAATTGATTAGTACACTTCTTAAACAAAACAAAGCGTATGGACCTTACTAACATGTAGAATTATGTCATGCAGGACCGCAAATAATTTTGTAGCCCGCAAAAATTAAAAGAACTATTTCGGCATCTTTTCAAGTTCTATACCTTGCCCTACTGGAAACTTCAACTCGAAAATCCAGCTCGAAGTCCAACTCAAAATCCTTACTCGAAGGAGTGTTCGCTCAAAAGTAGAATTTCGACTTCGTATTACGACCTCCAGTCGCCAACAATCGGTTTTCGATCGCTGTTCAAGTGACTGCTCGATAACGGACAAACTCCAAATTCTAACTCGTTAACAGCTCCTTACGAACAATCCTAACTAATACAGCTCTAACCAGCCTTTCTCCATTATTCATTTCATATTGCATTTCCTGACCACAATGCAAATCAAGCTAATGGTTAAAAACCGCAAGTATCGAATGACTAAATACGTTTTGGCATTGAACAAACATCCCTTTTCCTTAAATTTGAGGTCCAGTTTGATAAATATGTATGACTTTTCTGTGCTTGTAATCCTTAAAAAATAAACAAATGAAAATAAAGTCAAATTACAAAGATAGAAGCATGCATGTTGATCGTGAACTCACGAAAACCAGTCTACAGATTAAAAAGAAGTTTAGGGTAAGTTTTAGCCCAGAAGATTGTTTGCCTTTTTCTTTTCAGGGAACGTTTTTTCCCACATCATGCGTCGAGAGGAAATGGCCAAAAAGGTCTTGTACGCAGTAGGGCTGTTGATCAAAACCGTGCTGTTATGCTGTACAGCTGCACAGCAATGGGAGGCTACGGGCCAGCCGGAAGTTTCCAAATTTGGGATGATGCTACAACGCCACATCTTCAAGAGGATCACGGGGGCTGGTCTTTCAGATGTGTGCTTGCGGGGATGCTATGCTGACGTCAGATGTCAAAGTTTCAACTACGTCTTTACGCAAGACATTTGTGAGCTGAGCAACCGAACCAAGGAGGCCAGACCAGAGGATTATGTTCCGAACCCTGAGAGATTTTACTTTAAGCGAGATTACAAACGAGGTTTGTAAATTTTTTTACTGTCTTCTTCCCTTTAAAGACATTTTCAGAGCGCAGAATTTCAACCCAAAATTAATAAATTGTGTCACATCACTTCCCTTTATTGCCTTAAGTCAAGTCGCCCTCAAATTGAGTGTCCTCGTCCCTGAGACGAACATCAAATCTTGTTTACTTGGAATACTATGCCACTATGATTGCTATTTCTTCCAGTCCCTCTCGGTTCCATTCCTGAGCTGCCTGCGGAGACTTGCCAGGAAATCAAAATGAGCGAAGGAGGACAAGCGGTCAGCGGCAAATACTGGTTTCACTCGATTGTACCCGAGAGGACTGTTCTGGCTCCTTGTGACATGAAAACCGAAGGTGAATTCAAGTGTTTATCAATTCACATCTTCTACAGACAAAAATCGGTTTACCACGAGCAAAAGCGTTGACAGAGATATTATGGGTAGACTGCAACCACCTGACCCCCCCCCCCCCATCCCAATATTCATAGAGGGAAATGAGAAAATAAAGCAAAACAAAATAAAAATAGTAAGATATCTGACGGAAACAAAGCTATGAAGGAATGCTATAATCTCTCTTAAACTGAACGATTTGAGAACAGGTCAAATAGAATTGAAAAATTTCTTTTTTGACACAGAGATAATCATTCAATAGCAAATTGTTATCACAACTTTATAGAGACGAAATTTAACGAATAGGGAAGGGGAAATTTTGCTTCCTGATGGGGTCGTACAAAGTAAAATTTTGGCTCCCGCCGGAAGCAATTGGTCTGATGAATCCACGAACGAGTAATAATTCAGCGAATACCCTCTTTTTTGCTTTTAAACCGACCGCAAACTATTCCGTTTTTTCAGACGTGGACGAGTGTAATTCTACAATTCCCGTGTGTGACGTCAACGCCGAGTGCGTGAACACCGTCGGTTCTCACAGTTGCTCGTGCAAAGCTGGTTTTACTGGAAACGGAAAAAAATGTGTCGGTAAGTTAGTGAAATGACTTTCACTATTGCCTGAAGCAAGTCATTTTAAAACAAAGCAAAACCAAAACAATCCCGGCTTAATCTGGACACTCGATTAAAAAAAATTGCTTTAATAACCGATTTGAATTATACCCCATACCATGTCACGTTCAATTGCTTATACGGCGAGAATGTATAAAACTTTACATGGTATGACACCAGATTATCTGAGATCAAGATTTGTATATCGTGACAATATAAGTTCTTATCGTTTAAGGAATACGGAAAACAAATTAGTTCTTCCACAACCTCGAACTGATTATCTTAAGAGAAGTTTTTTGTACAGCGGAGCTCACTTGTGGAACGACTTACCCTTGGAACTAAGACAAGCGTCTTACCGATTTCAAATCTAAATTAAGTCGCCACAGTTTAAAGTAATATCTTAATTTTAGGAAGATAGATATACCTTTATAGATAATTAACAACTGATGGAAATACCGTGTATAAATAAATTTATCTTATCTTATCTTATCTTATCTTACGCTTTCGCCAGTAACCATCATTTTCGATCGACTCTTGCTCTTGAGTTCAAACCATTTAGTTTTTTATGTATTCTCTCAGATGTCGACGAATGTGCCAATAAATCGCATGACTGTGACGTCAATGCCTACTGCAACAATACCGTTGGTTCCTATCGATGCACCTGCAATTCCTGGTACCAGGGAAACGGAACAAGCTGCTATTTTCGTGAGTTTAAGTAATATTGAGATACAAGTGACCTCAGTTTGTTATGATACTCGCATTTCGCATTCTCTATCTTTCTGTATCGTCATATGAAGCTTACAATTTTGGAAATATATTTTTTTAACATGAGTCGGTCCTGAATCGAGACCAAGATGGAATTCGTCCTAACAACAGGCTACATTATGACCCTTTACTCCCTAGCATCAGTACAGATATTCTCCTCACTGTTCTCTATACATACCATATGGTACTGCCAAGGGAATTTGTTTGACAATCAAGAGCTTTCCTTTATTCCCATAATTCTGATGTTTGATTCAGCAGTAATACGGTAAGGAGAAATTAAATGCCAATCCCTCTTAGGGGTTTAAGGGTTGAAGAATACGTCTCACTTGGCGCCCAAAAAAAATTAAATGCCAATCCCTTGAACTTTCTATATTGATCAGCCTTAATTCTTAATTTTTCATTATTATCACGTTTTTATCGCGTGGTTTCCTCTAATTCGAAGAAAACATTAATTGGTGGAAATAACGAGGCAAGATATGATCAGGTGTACTGAGTGTCACACAAACACGCTTTCACGAAAAAGCAAGTGTAGACATTACCACCACCAAGATGACGAATGCAACATGACGCCAAAACTTCAAGGTAGGGCAATCCTTACCTTTTCTCCTTTTTTCGGTTTTTCGTATAGGTGGCCTTAATAATTCCGTTATTCTTACCAGCCTCGACTACAACAACTACACAGGTAAGCTGCTTTCTTACCTAGAGCCAGTCCTCCTGAGTTCAGAGTGGAGCAGGTTTGTGAAGTGTTGGCACGCTAAGACAGACGGCTGGGCGGCATCGACATTCCACAGCAACTGTGATGGGAGGGGACCCACAGTGACAATCATCAAAGTGAACGATTACATATTTGGTGGATACACTGATGTGTCCTGGGGACCAAGCGGTGAGTACGTTTTTGAATAATAAAATTTATATCACTGCTGTATCATACAGTAGTATTTGATGAATTTAGGATCCAAATATATTTTCCATCTAAACTGCGCTTAATAAGCGTCGCAAAGCCAAAACCAAGTTCATTAAAACTGGCCAATCAAAACAATGGACAAGAACAAAAGCTGCGCAAGGCGCGAGAAAAACTCGATATACCAAGTCACACTTGGGATAAGACTGATTGACGTATCTCAGGGCCTACACCAGAAGCCCCCTTCTCTTCCCCCCCCCCCCCCGGTCAGGATCCCTTGGTGCGTGGTAAAGTTTCTATATGGCTCCGCTTTGACTTTTTCAAAGTGCTCCCGTTAATAAGACTAATAAGAGTTGGTTAGCTGCCATAGCGAGTTTATAGAAGCTTCAAAATTCGCTGCAGCTGTACCCACCTTGATTAACTTATACTTGTCATCCATTCGTAGATCATCCCACTTCTCTTTTTTGAGAGACCTCAAGGAATCGTAGGATGGTCTAACAATTGACTAATAGAACTTACATTTACTATGTTCTTACAACGCCACCCATAATATAGGTTCATGTGGGAACTCCCATGCTTGGAAAGCCTTTCTCTTCTCCCTCAACAACATCAAAGGACCGATCCATTTTGTTTTGTATCTTGATATTCTTATCGTTTGAATTAAGAAACTATCCATAACTCGATCTTAAATATAAAAACGGCCAAAAAAAATTTGCTTTTTGGGGCTGGTCCCTGATCCTATACCTGTCTAAACTTTGAATGCATCTCTGCATTTGCATTTTAATCAACATTTTAGGTTCCTGTTTTTGGTCTTACGCCACCAAAGCCTTTTTATTCTCATTTAACAACATCAAAGGATACAATCCTGTGAAGCTGACACAATACCGAAACCAGCAATACGCAATGTACACATGTTCCAATTACGGACCCACTTTTGGTCGGGGACATGACATCCGCATATATGACGACGCCGTAAACAATCAACATTCTTATACTGAATGCGGCCAGACTTACTCCAACCCCGCGGGTTATTCGGGTGTAAACTGTGGATTTTTCACAGGAAGTCGTCAGTTTACTCCATCTGATATTGAAGTTTTCTTCGAAATAGGTAAGTTATTGTACAGTAACACTTAAAACCCTGTCGTAAATATACGATGAATAAATATATAAACTCTATAATCCTTTGCAACGGTCAGAGATTCTAAAAGCGCATGTGCTGAACCATATTCAGCAGCGAAATACTTTTGAGGTTATTGTGGCAGCAGTGGTAAGTGAATTGTATCTCAGTTCCGGGATATCAGTGCTCATCAACTAAATCAGGGAAAAAATTGATCTAGATGCTTGTTTTGCCATGAACTTGAATCGCTGAGTCGGGCTGAAGCAGACAGTTCAATTTAGCTAAAGTGAACTTTTGTTTTTCTTTCTCGTGGAATTTAGTTGATATGTTTTCAAAATAAATGCACAGGAAAATTTTGAGTTAAAATTGGAACACATGGTTAGCACCTCACCCTGTGAATAAAAACATCTGGAGCTTTGGTTGTGAAAGAAGAAATAACATCTTTCTCTATTCTAGAACGTCTGTTATTGTAATTTCATTCGAGTTCATTTTACGCACACAGGTGGCCTTGGTGCATCTACTATACTTAGAGGCCTGGACCCCAATAAATACTTGGGAAAACTAATTTCGTTTTTAGACCCAGTTCTTCCCACTGCATCCCGTACTGACTTTGTTAGGTGTTGGCATGCTAAGACTGACGGCTGGGCGGCATCGACATTCCACAGCAACTGCGATGGGAGAGGACCTACAGTGACAATCATCAAAGTGAACGATTCCATATTTGGTGGATACACCGACGTATCATGGAGCAGTAAGTACATCTTGGCCATTTATTTTTTTCTTTTGGTGCAAGGTTTGAATGATTTCAAAGGGCAAAGAATTAACGTTGGAAGGTTTGAATCTAGCTTGGTGTCTAAAACAGAAATAAAGAATTCTCCTAAAGTGTGTTTCTTGAAATTATTGGTAACGCTACGGGCCCAAAGCCATGTCCCAGGATAGAAATCTAAGCAATAGTTGTTTCAGTCGTTTCTCAAAGAACCGATCTACTTTTGTTTCGTCTCATTATATTCTCATTGTTTTCATTTCAAAACTATCCCTTACTCCATCTTGAATGTAAAAAAGAAGAAAAAAAAACACCTTTTTGGGGCTGGTCGCAGATCGTATACCTGTCTAATCTTTGGATGCATCTCTGCATCTCCATTTCAATCAATTTTTTTAGGTTCCTGTCATTGGTCTTACGCCACCAAAGCCTTTTTATTCTCATTTAACAACATCAAAGGATACAATCCTGTGAAGCTGACACAATACCGATACCAGCAATACGCAATGTACACATGTTCCTCTCACGGACCCACTTTTGGTTGGGGACATGACATCCGCATATATGACGACGCCGTAAACAATCAACATTCTTATACTGAATGCGGCCAGACTTACTCCAACCCCACGGGTTATTCGGGTGAAAACTGTGGATTTTTCACAGGAAGTCGTTATTTTACTCCATCTGACATTGAAGTTTTCTTCGAAATAGGTAAGTTATTGTACAGAAACACTTAAAACCCCGTCGTAAATATACAATGAATAAAACAAATAAACTCTAGTCCTTAGCAACGTCAGGGATTCTAAAAGCACATGCGCCGAACCATATACAGCAGCGAAATACTATTCAGGCTATTGTGGCAGCAATGCTAAGTGAATTGAATCAGTCAGTTCCTAGATATCAGTGCGCATCAACTAAATCAGGGAACAAATTGATCTAGATGCCATGTTTTACCATGAAACTGAATCGCTAAGTCGGGCTAAAGCAGACAGTTCAACCCAGCTAAACTGAACTTTTGGTTTTTGCTTTTCGTTTCCCAGTTTTATACGCACTTAAGAAAATAGTTCCTCGTGAAATTTAGTTGATATGTTTTCAAAATAAATGTACAGGAAAATATTGAGTTAAAATGGGAACACATGGTTAGCACCTCGCCCTGTGAATAAGAACATCTGGAGCTTTGATTTTTGTTAAATACTCTCATGGTTGTGAAAGAAGAAATAATATCTTTCTCTATTCTAGAACGTCTGTTATTATAATTTTCATTCGAGTTTCTTTTACGCACACAGGTGGCCTTGGTGCATCTATAATACTTGGAAGCCTGGACCCCAATAAATATTTGGGAAAGCTGATTTCGTTTTTAGACCCAGTTCTTCCCACTGCATCCCGTACTGACTTTGTTAGGTGTTGGCATGCTAAGACTGACGGCTGGGCGGCATCGACATTCCACAGCAACTGCGATGGGAGGGGACCCACAGTGACAATCGTCAAAGTGAACGAGTACATATTTGGTGGATATACTGATGTGTCCTGGAGCGGAGGCAGGAATATCAAATTTTTTTTAAGAGGAAATAAGACAATTATATAGGATCAACTATCGTTCCTTTTGGGATTCAAGGAGGAGGGGAGAGGGTGCTGAAGGAAATTTTAAATGATGCTCCTCTGATAAGAACGCTTAGCCTTTATTATTTCATATTAGTTTTTTGGCCATCAAGATTTCTTCACACCTATATTGTCTATAGAAATGTTTCCTATTTGATACACCTACAGAACAACATTACATCCTAACACGTCTAGTAATGACAACACTTAGAACAAAGGGATCTTTTCCTTTAAGTCTCAAAATGTTTACTCGCTTTTCTTCAGAATAACTCCTCAAATCTTCCATAATTGTTTTTCGTACTCGTTTCTATACCAAAACTCGCAAAATATCTCCCTCCCTTTCACAAATCTCTAAACTGGAAAAAATCACCCCGTCCAGCTCATGATAGAAAATGAACTGCCCCCCCCCCCTTCTTAGGGGTTTATGTTTTCTTCTAACTTTTTAACGTACGATTACATTGTTCTTCTATTTCAGCTGGTTCTTGCGCAGGTTATTCCTACGCTAGTGAAGCTTTCATCTACTCTCTCTATAACGTCAAAGGATACAATCCCGTAAAGTTGACGCAATACCAAAATCAGCAATATGCAATGTACAGATGTAATACGTATGGACCTACCTTTGGCGCTGGGTATGGTCATGATATCTACATATCCGACGGCTCTGGAAACAACCAAAACTCCTACACCAGATGCGGTTCCACGTACACGACACCCTCAGGGTACTCAACTGGTGACTGTGGTTTTTTTACAGGGGGGTCTCATTTCTCTCCAACGGACGTCGAAGTATTCTATGAAGCAGGTAATCAAGAAAAACACCCCTTTCCGAGGATAAATACTTTGTAGGGCCTGTGGCAAAATCAAATCGCGTATTGTAGAAATATTCTCAGAAAGTTGTGTTTCTAGATTACGGAAAGCTTACTTTTTTGTCGGCTTATAAAGTCCTTTTGTAGTATTCATTTAAGTTTGTCACGCAACGCGTTGCGTGACGAGCCTGACAGGTCTGAGTTGCTTGTCTGAGTTGCCACTTGAAAGGGGAGTTTGAATGGGTATTACATTAAACATTCATCAGAATGAAGACATTGACAGGAGTGTTGGGGCCACTTGAAAGAACGGCTGAGTTAACAAAACAAATGTCATTCTCTCTGCCACCTAAAATACCGCCTGGTAGACAGGCTGGGGATTTTTTTACTTGCCGGATTAGAAATGTTAGATTATCATATCTAGCGGGCCAAACGAGGGGTGATGAAATTATCCACTTTAGATTCAAAGGCGACACCACCAATCAAAGCCAACTGTAATTTTTTGGCCTTTCTTTTCCCACCTCAGGCCTCGGTTTGTCCGCCATACTTCGAAGTCTTGATTACAACCAGTACTTGAAGGTGCTGTTTTCGTATTTGGACCCAGTCCTTATCAATAAAGAACGTAGTAGGTTTGTGAGGTGTTGGCACGCAGGGACTGACGGTTGGGCAGCATCGACATTCCACAGTAACTGCGATGGGAGAGGACCCACAGTGACTATCATTAAAGTTAACAGTTATATCTTTGGTGGATACACTGACGTGTCCTGGACCAGTAGTGAGTAAAAAAACAAGCAAACATCTCTCACATGTAGAACAGATAATAAATCGATTAGTTGTGGACTTTTCTTGTAGCAGTGAGTTCATCTCAGAAACAGAAAATATCACATTAACAACTAAGATACCAAAGTAGACAAACTCATAAATAGCCTGAAAACGCGTTTGAAACGGGTTTTAACTTAAAGTCTTGTTTTGGATTTGATTTTTGATTTTGATTTGATTTTGATTTGATTTGATTCTGACAGCTCCGTTTCGTGTCATTTCCCCTTGTTTCGTTGTATTCATTATTCATATTGGAGAGCTGAAACAAAGGATGTTTAGTTAACTCTCTCTTTAGATCGTAAGCTGCCTTTGAATAAAACTTCAGACCATATTTCAAATGCTTTTTTTGAAAAGTGAAAATATGCTCTTGAGTTCCTTGAAATTTTCTCTAACAAATTGTTCAGCTCTAGTTCGGCAAGTTAAAAAAAAAAAACTGCATTTTTATGGTTATCATCATGAATTTTATTTCTCATTCGCATAGTTTCTAATGCTCCTAAATCTTTTCATTTTAGGTCCCTGTGCTTATTCTTCAGCCAGCAAAGCTTTCGTTTTCTCTCTTTACAACGTCAAAGGATACAATCCTGTGAAGCTGACACAATACCGATACCAGCAAAACGCAATGTACAGATGTTCCTCTTACGGACCCACTTTTGGTTGGGGACATGACATGTACATAGGTGACGACGCTGTAAACATTCGGCACGCTTATACTAAATGCGGTGGCACGTACTCCAACCCCACGGGCTATTCAGCTGGAGATTGTAAATTTTTCACAGGAGCATCGAATTTCACTCCATCTGACATCGAAGTTTTCTTCGAAATAACAAACTAAACACTAAAAACTATGCTGTCTAAGTAAGTATCAAGTAAGTATCGTAACAATAGAGTTAGTGCCTCCTCACACAAGGCCCGGTCAACAGAACTTGCCCTGTATTCTCTCAGTGCTTAGTCGCTTATTTCCCATTTAAAAAAGTGTTCTGATTGGTGGAAAATCTTAAGTTAATCGTACCGATAAACACATAATTTTAGTTAAAAAAGACTGCACTTTCTATTCGTTTACTAGCATAATAAACTACGCAGTATGTTGGTAGAACACTCAAAATGTTCGTAGATTATGAGCAGTGAAAGGGTGAGTTACAAACGTTCTCGTGTTCTCCCAACATCCTGTGTGGTTTGTTAAGCCAGTGAACCGATAGAAAAAGCAGTCTATTATAAAAAGACAGCGCATTTTAGACTGGCAAGGTTGAGGGCGCCTCCATTGAGTAAACTCTGCAATTGGAATATCATGCTGTAGGTGAGAAATTCTTCAGTATTGGCTGTAGAGCATTCGAAATAACAGATCTTACAGTTAGAAAACACCCACGTTTTAAGCCCTTTCCCCATTGAAGATGAGGAATTTGAAGCGCGCACCGCCGTAGTGCGCTTTTATTTGCGTCGCACGTGCATTTTATTTTCGTTGCATGTGCACTTCATTTCCGTCGCACGTGCATTTCATCTGCATCGCACGTGCGTTTTCAGTCGCATCGCACGTGTTACCAGGCTCTACTTTAGTAATACCCCTCTCCACCCAGGAGTAGGAAATGGGTACCTGCAAAGTGTGGGAGTCAAAGGAACTTGACGAAAGGTGTAGGGTTTACATATACCCGCGAAATATTAGCATCCGGTCCGCGGTCAAGAGAGAAGAAGTAGTACCCCTGGTGCCGTCATGTTATTTACACCAGGAAATTTTGCTACAAGATTGACCGGACGGTCAGTGTTGAAAAGAGTAGATATGAAAATGTTACTAGTTAAGTAATGTGAATTTTTTAAACTTTCTTTAAGTTAGATTAATATTACGTGTGCATCATTTTAATCATTAATCAATAATTTTTTATTGTTGAGATAATTATGCTGTTGTAGCTTGGGTGTTGTGCCGCGAGATGGCGAAAGTTTTGCTTCACAGAAGTTAAACACTCGCTGCTAGTGATACGTTCCTACAAGAATTAACGAAAACAGAAAATTGCTTCTTTCCATCGAAGACTACCACAAAGGCATCAGTACAAGATGAGGGGTGACCACGGCCAATGTTCTCTTTCAAATTCTGGCATAAAGAACCAACAATTTCCTTTCCTTCTAATCAGAACTGAAATCGAGCCGGCAGAAGAGAATTTAAAAATTAAGAACAGAAATTAGCAAATCAAAACCGAAAGTGATGAGCGCAAAGGAATTTAGTTGACAGTGAAAGTCACTGATCAGAACTACAATTGAACCAAGAGAACAACATTTAAATTGTGAGAACACCTCTTTCTTTTGCGTCGCCACAAGCCAAAAGTGATTTTTGGCTAGACTACCCGTTTTTGGATAATACAGTATGTCTAAAATGTTTGGTTGTTCCCCAAAGATTAAGGAATAAATTTGGCATTCTGGTGTTATACAGACATACTGAATTATCCAACAACGGGTAGTCTAGCCAAAAATAACTTTAGGCTTGTGGCGGCGCAAGAAGAGAGAGGTGTTCTTAAAATTCAAATGTTGTTCTCTTGGTTCAGTTGTGACTCTGATCTGTGACTTTCAGCGTCAACTAAATTCCTTTGCGCTGTGTTCTTAATTCTTTATTTCTCTTCTGCCGGTTTAGTTTCAGTTCTGATGAGAAGAAATGGAAATTGTTGGTTCTTTATAGCAGAATTTGAAAGAAAATATTGGCGGTGATCACCCCTCATAGTACAAAGCCGTGGTTGCATTTCATTTTCCTTCTTTCTCAATTCACACTATGCTTTACCATAACCAAAATCAAAAGGAAATATCAAGAATATAATCATGCAACCCCAATATCAAGAACATGTCGCCCAAGGTTCAACTTCTTTTTTAATCTTATGTAATCATTAGGCTCGACTGGCCTGGTAGATTTTAACCAGTTAAAGGTGTAGCTAAAATATTTAAACGTTTCTATCCTAATGTCAAAAAACAGTATGTAGTTTTAAGGGGGGTCAGAGGTGGATAGAGACATAAAAAGTCGGTTCCAGTCCCTAATACAGTAAAGACATGCGAAAGGGCGAGCAAACCACAAACGTCGGTTGTGGTTCTCAAGAAAACAACTGAGCGCCGTTTTTCGCACGCGGTTCCAGACTGGCTGAGAACCTGCTACAGACTGAGAGATAAGGAGGTTTGAGATTTGCGTTTAGCCTTACTTAGCCCCGATATTTAACATATGTTAAGCTTACCATGAAAAAAACTACAGTTTGTATAGAAACACTTTGTCGGACGGTTGATTCTTTTGACAGAGATGTGGTTATGTCATTCAGGAAGGAAGCCTGAACCTTGGGTCGATATCGAGTTATACAGAAAAAAGGTTAAATATAATTTCAAAACTTATTTGAACATAAAGTTTACATCTGCTCATAACTGTGGCTGTCAGAAATCAACTGTAATCTTTTGAATGTAAATAAAACTAAGTTCACCACTCGTTTATTTTCATTGTGTTTCATTGAACCGTATTAAGATAACCTTCGGTCTCAGTTTTCAACGACTGATTGATGCACAACAGTATTAGATCAATGAACCCAAAGTAAAATGTTCGCACGTGCACATCGCTCGCCAGATCCAAAGAGTAGTTCCACCTTGGCAAATTTCCCGTTGCTGGACTTTTCCCGAGCTTTTAAGCACCCCCACATTTTCCTGCGCTTTTAAGCACCCCCACATTTTCCCGCGCTTTTAAGCACCCCCACATTTTCCCGCGCTTACTTACTGCATTGTTCTTTCCCTCTCTTTTTCCCAATTTCATCCATTCTATGTTTCCTAGCGCCAATCAAGAGCTGTATAGTTTTCCATGTTCGTCACTTATCAGCTATTCCTTAGCAATCGCATTATTGTACACTTGCGCTGCAGTAGCACGCATTGGAGTCGCCATTTTGCTTTACTATAAAGAGCTCGCGAAAGTTTTTTTGTTTCCTGTTTTACAGCAGCCATTGCATGCTGATTTCATACCATAACCGCTAAAGATTAATTATCTTTGTGAAGATCAGAGAAACGAACGGATGCATTTCAAAGAGTCGTAACTACCATATAATCTGTTGATGTCAGTATTATCTGACTATGCAGTCTAGATAAGTACTAACTGAGTATAGTAACAATAAACTTAACCCTTTACACTCTAACATCATTATGCATATTCTCCATACTGTTCTCTATACATTTCCTAAGGTACTGACAAGGAGAATCTGTTGAACAATCAAGAGTTTCTTTAGTCGACGATCATTTCGATTATTCTCATGACCTTAATGTGTGATTCTGGGGAGATAATGTAAGGAGAAATGAGATGCTGGTCACTCTTAAGGGTCAACACAACTTGCTGTTTCTGCGATCTCATCACACCGCCAGTGAGATGAGATCTCAGAAACATTATACAATTTGCGGAGGAAAGAGCGGCTCTTTCCCTTGATCTTTCTATGTAAGTAGCTGTGTTAGCTCAGTTACCAAGATTTTCGGTTTTTTAATGTTGTTATAAGGGTGATCACCATGATTTTTCACAGCAGAACTTCGTTTTACTCTGACTGACATCCAAGTATTTTACGAAATAAGCAACTTTACAATAATCCATACCATGTTCAAGAAATTTGTTTAGTAAAAGAGACAACATTACAATGAGTAATGTTACTACTGCGCATGCTTGCACTCTTTTGTCGAATAAAAAATTGTTACGCACTTGTCAGGAGAGAGAAAGAAAATATATCAACCCGTTGACTTCTAGGAGTGACTAGAATCTAATTTCTCCTTACAATATCACCCCTGAATCTAACATTAAAAACTTTTTCCAGCCATGAACCTTGTTTTACATGCCTGGGAATATAAAAATTGCAAACAAATTTCTTTTTAGCCTTCTTCCTAATAACTTACGCACATTGAAGACGCCAGTAACACGACAAGAACAAAACCAAACAAAACAAAACAGAAATATCGGAAGTTCAAAAAATTTAATTAATTTTCCATCAGTCTTGACGTGTGTGGTTCGCAAGGAAGATTTGAAGCTACATTTCGCTGTTTACATTTGAAAACGTATCATCGTATAAGGTCGGACAGCACCTGCGTCGGTATCAATTGCAAGAGCTGCGCTAACATACAGACAAGAGTCGCCAGCAAAGAAACATTTTCGGAGAAAACGGTAGGAAATTATTTGTTTGGGTTCAGTTGTAGAGTATTTCGTTTACAGATAGAGCTATGTCAGAATGGCATGGCTACGCAAAGGTACTTTCTGCTAAAGAAAAAAAAAAGGAAAATGAAAACTGTCGGTGTCTCGATGAAACCCAGAATTTATGTCAAAAAACTGGACGAGTTTTTTTCTGGTAACAAGAGGCTTAATTGCTGTGGTAATAGAGTAAAATAGGATGGAGGACATATTGGCTTAGGGTCGGGAGAGTTCCTACGAAGGCAGCGGACTCTATTTTTTTTTTTTATTATTATTTATTTTTCACTTCCATCCGTGTCTCCCGCCCTTGCCAAACCTTAAATATTTTTTTGAAAAATTTAAAACGCGAAGAAAGATGTGAAATTCGTTTCACAAGTGCTGGAAAGCTTCTGCAAGGACTCAAATCCCAGCATATTGTGAAAAAGAGCTCGTTGATTGATAAACTAAGCATTGTATTACTCCCAAAAAAGCGCCTCGAAACTTCAGATTTTCAAACTTGGCTGCGGTGTTTTTGCTTCCTTTATAAACTCATGGTTGATTATCAACCAAGTTTTTCCTTTTGCTCGACGATGCAGTAGCGTAAAAGGATCTTTCAGAAACTGGCAAGCTCCTGTCTTTCGCCAAGTTTACATGCAAGTGCACTTCAGCTTCCTACAAATATTGCGGAGATCATTTGGGTGAAGATAGAATTAAACGGTCGTGTTAGAAATCTGACTCAAGTGTGAAACATATCCTGATTCCCCGCCAAGATTCCAGCCTCAGACACTTAATGCAGTCCCTGAAAGGCTCCGACTACACTTTTCCATATTTTATTAATATTTTTGTTCAATAATGCAGTTTGAAAACTGTCCGTATTTTGTTTGGTAAATGAAGCATACCATTTCCAGCCAAGGACACTAGCGTTTTCACAATCCACTCTACTGTCTACATTTCGCTGTTTACATTTGTTTTGTCACTCGGTACTCAACTTATCTCAATCTGTTTTGTAACTCCAGTTGCTTGGACTGATAACTCGAAAATTCTTAATGAACGTGTTCAAAAGGAAATATCGTAATGTCCCCACTTTGCAACTTGAAAAGTTTAGTAACTCCGGCCGTTATGACTGCTTAGGGTTAGAGAAATCAGTGAAACGAGTTTTTGCCGGGAGGATCGCAAAAGTTTTCAAAAACAAGTAGGAGACTAACAAGGAGTCCGACTATTGAATAATTGATTAGTTTAAACAATTCTTAAACGAAGCAAAGCGTATGGACCTGAGTAAGATGTAAAATTTCAGCTTGGTCGTTGCATAAGAAAGATGTCTTGTCATCAGTAATGGAGAAAGAGCCGGGTTAAAGAAGCACACAAAGTTGAAATCCCATACCTCGCACTTTTTTGAAATAAATGTTTCAAAAAGAATTTGCTAGATATTGGCTCACTTTATTGGCAAGCCAACAATCAAATTGGAAAGTATTATTTTCAACAAAACTTCATACTGTCCAACTCGAGCAGCTGAAAATTTTTCAAGCACTATGCAAAATTCTTTAAGTTGAATTTTGCGGAAAATTTCTTATTTATGGCAGTTAACGTTTATAATAGGCGTATTACGACCTCCAGTCGCCAACAATCGCTATGCGATCGCTGTTCAAGCGACTGCTCGATAGAGGAGAAAATCCAAATCCTAAATTTCTTTTAATCTGTAGACTGGTTTTTCGTGAGTTCACGTCCCCACGCAAATGTGAGTATTTCCAAAGTCACTTTTGACCTGTTTTTTTTATTGGAAGGTGTCATACGAATCACTCAGAACTTCTCCATAGTCCTAAAAAGCCGCAGAAATGTTAAAGTGAGGTTTTTATGACTGATTGAAGCCATTATTCTCCTGGGTAATTCCTCAATAGGCAGGTACAACAACAGGATAATAGTACCCAATGTAAATAAGATC